AATTTCCCCCAAAATTTTCATTTTCATTACATTGATTTATAAAAAATTTATAAATACGTTTATTTATTCCCGAAGCTTTTTTATAAAATTTAACTGTTAATATTTTTTGTTTATCCATCATTTCATTTTTAACTTTCCTCATTATTTATTTTTATTCCCTTCTCCCCCCATATTTCACCTCTCTCTCATTTAAATAAATGAAGCCTTTTAGTTTTTCAGACATTTAAAAAAATATATTCTCAACTACTTATTTATTTATTCGGCCATTCAATTGGCCATTAAACAGCGCGGAAATATGTCCGCTTCTTTAGGATTGTCAATATTTCTTGGAACAATTAATTTACTTGTTGTTTGTGGAAATTTAGCCGTTTTATATATTGTTGTCTCCCAAAAATCTCTTCATACATCTACAAATACTATTGTTTTTTCTCTTACTTTATCTGATTTTTTGCTTGGATGTTTAATTTTGCCATTTTCTATTACTCAGGTATTTTCAAAAATTTAAAATTTTTGAAAAAAAATTTTTTTAATTTTCAGGAATTTTCAAATTCTTGGGCTTTTGGTACTCTTTGGTGCAGATCATGGCTTTCTTTGGATATTTTGTTAAGTACAGCTTCAATTTACAATCTTTTAGCTATTAGTTTTGATCGTTATATGGCTGTTAAACAACCAATAAAATATGGACGTTTAATCTCTTCTAGCAGGTAATTTATTTAAAAAAAATCTTAAAATTTATTTTCTCCCTCACAGACTAACAAAATTCAATATTAGCGCTGTTTGGTTAATTAGTGCAAGTTTAGCTGTCCCTCCATTTTTGTCAGACCTTTTTATGGTAACTGCAAGTAATGAACAGATGAATGATGCTTTACCTGAAGCTAACTATTCTGAAGCATTTTTACAGTTTGAAGGGACCTGTACGCCTGTAACTAATTCTGATTTTTATATTTTATTCTCTGCAACTATTTCTTTTATTTTGCCAATGATTTTGATGGTAAATTTTTAATAAAATATTTGGATATTTATATAATTTCTGCTAATTTATTGCCTTCGCTCAACTATATCCCATACCCTTCCCTTACTTTTTAAAATGTTATCCAATCCTCAACTTCCATCTTTCTCTTTGTATTTTACCAATCTCTTTGTTATACCAACATTTTTAGACATAATTTACCTTATCTAAAATATATTTATCACTTCAAATTACAATATCACAATCTCTCAAGTATCACAAAGTTTTGTTAAAGGGCGAGATACAATAGAGATTCCATTAAAAATTAATTCTGTTGCCCAATTTAAAATTTTTATTCCAGATTGGCTTGAATGCAAGTATTTTCTGTACAGTTCTCGATTCTAGACGAAAACTCTCTCAAGCTACATCCTCAACCTTTCCTGGAAGGAGTACATCAATATTATTATCATCTGCATCCTACAAGCAACACCAACCTTCCCAACATTCATTAGTCTCTTATGATGAAATTATTAGAGTTCATAGAGGGGGAAGTAACACTAATATCGGAGGAATCTGTAAAACATCAACAACAAATCCCTCACAATATAGATCGACGTCAACATCTGCTCCAACTTGTTATTTATCAGAAATGGTAAAAACGAAAATATTTTTACTTTGAAAAATATTTTTAAAAAGGGGATTTTAAAATATGTAAATTTCTCTTTTGGATTTTATTAAAAGGAATGTGTGCGTAATACATATATTTCTACGAATTTTAAAAAAAATAAAAAAATCTAGACGATAATATTAAAGAGATAAAATTATTAAGAATAACAAGCATAAGTTATGATGTAAATATTCTGAATTAGATTTTAGAAAGTGACGTGATAACCAAAGCTAACAGTAAAATAAAATAAGGCTGTTAAATGAGATGTATAGCCACATTCTCCTACTAAATGAGAAATCAGATTTATTCAGAAAGCTCTATTCAAATATTTTTTCAGCAACAACCACAATCTCCCGCTATTAGAAAAAAAGTTCGTCGATCATTCAATTTGCTCAGAAAGAAAGCTTTACCACCTAAACACTACGAATTTTATCAACCCCTATCTCTACCTATACAACGGGCAATAAGTCAATATGATAGGCAAACAATAACTTCAAATAGTAGAAAACCAACAATAGAAAGTTATGCTACTTTAACAGCTAATTCAACAAGTATTGGATTTTATCAAAGACAATTATCAGCAAATGGAGGCCAACAAAAGGACGAAATGTCATTAACTGACACTTTGGGAAGTAAAAGTTTGGATGCTGAATGGACAGCTTCTAATGGAGGAGGAAATAATTGTGGCGGAACAGTTTCCCCTCCTCCTTATTTTAGAGATCAGTGTTTAAGTTGGACATTTAATACAAACAAAATTAGTGCAAGACAAATTTGGCTGAACAGAATAAGAAGAATAAGTATGTAGTTTTTTGAAGAATTTTAGAGATTTAATTAATGCTCGATTCGTTTTTATCGATACTAATTAAACAAAAATAATAGGACCCTCAGGGGGCGTTTAAACGGGATTGGGGTCTAACTCTTAAAAGTACCAACTGACCTTCTGGCCGAGCTCTAAATTCAATGATTTTATATTCTAAATCATTAGCGAATAGATAATAATCGAGAGAAGATAATTAATTAATCAAGTAAAATTTTAAGTTTTGCTTGATTAAATTTCAAGTTTTGTTCCTTTGCTTAGTCCAAAAGAAAATTAAAAATTGAAATTTTAAATTTTCTATAAAATTTTCTAATAAAAATTCTTTTTAGAAACTTCTCGTGAACAAAAACGTAGTTACCAATCAATTCTTTCATCTCCAACATTTGATTTAAATTCTTCCCTTAATGCACAAATGGCTTTAAATATGCGGAGATTGCTTGAACAAGAAAGACTTGTTCGTTCAATTCCTGCTGTTCGACAGCCTTCGATGTAAGAGAAAAAAGAAAATTTTTGATTAATCTTCTTTAAAAAATTTTTTTAGAATTGAGAGGACAGCAGATCGTTCTGTTTGGTTTCCAGCTGTAGTAACTTCTCTATTTGCTGGAAGTTCAAAAAGGAGTGCAACAATTTGTCGCCGTCAAAGTGAAAAATTATTGCTTTACCCAACATTACAATTTGCTAAAACTTCGTTAAGAACAGAGCTTAGAGTTGCTAGAACTATTGCTGGTAATTTAATAAAATATTTTTTAATGGGAAAAATAAACTTCTCTCTTATCTTTCAACTCATTCACAATATAAACCAGTCAGTTATCTTTACCTATCAGATGAATCCAGGGGTCTCCGCAATTGCGGATTGCGACTGCGAAAATTTTTTCATTTGCGGAAACCCCTGATAGAATCTCTCTATATCAACGAACGATCCCTTTTCACATTCACATTCATACGTCACTTAAGTTCATGTCAATCCCTATGGGTGTAATTCCACTTACTATAACAATATACAATTTATTTTTTAACAATTAAATATTTCGTCACTTCCTGTTTTTTTCTAAAAATTTAAAAATTAGAAACCATAAAAATAAAAAAAATAAAAATTTAAAAAATTAGTCATAATCCTCTTTCTATTCCTTATTTTTAAACATCATTTAAGTAAATAAATCCCCTTTTTTCAACAAAAATCCTTTATTCTTTTATTTTATATAAAATCCTCTTATAATTAAAAAATATTAATTAATTAAATATTTGTGGGGTCATTTATTGACAATTAAATATTTTTTAGTTGTGGTCGGATGTTTTACGTGTTGTTGGCTTCCTTTTACAATTATCTACGTTGTGCAGGTCTTCATTTTTTATTTTATTTTTAAATAAGTCTGTGACTAATAATTTGTAATTTTTAATCCTCTCAATCTTTGATAATTAAAAAATATTGACAAAATTTATTTTTAATATTTCGAGGGGAAAATATACAAGAAAAAGATCTAATAATAATAATATTCTGGAAGAATAATTAATATTTTTCTGGAAGAATTCTGATAATTTAAGAATATATTCTATTACATTTATAGTTATTGTAAATTTCATGTCTCATATCCGACCCCCCTCTCCCGAAAGAAAAAATTAGAAAATAAAATTTTGTGGCAATATTTTTGCGTATTCCTTCCAACCCCTATACTGATTAAATAAAAAATTAATTTAATTTTTCTAAAAATTAAAATTTCCAGGCTTTTCAATTCTGCCCAATCGGAAAATGTATCCCCGAATGGTTATTTACTTTGGCATTTTGGCTTGGTTATTCCAATTCTGCTTTAAATCCAATACTTTATGCTGCTTTTAGTAGAGACTTTCGAAATGCTTTTTGCCGACTTTTAACGCGTGACAGAAATTCTAGTTTTAAAAGTAGTGGATAAAATAAATGTGAATTTATTTGTTTTCTTAAACATCTTTCAATGTGATGGATATTAACCTCGTCAATTCGTTTTACGAATCGTTTTTTTTGAATTTATTTAAAATTATATTTATATTTTTTTGTAAAACTGCCTTATTTATTTAATATTTTTTTGAGTAAAATTTTAATGATTTAAGCGAGAAATTTTGTGGATTTTGATCTTAAGTTGTTTTGATTTAATGTTGATTAAATAATTCGACTTAAATTTTTCGAGTCCAAAGATACATTTTCAAAATTTAAGCACTAGATCCATTTTTAAATAAGGAAGGACTTGGGTAGGTCTCAAACCCAATGGCTAATCACATTTACATAAAAAATTGTTAAAGTATCTAAAATCGAGGTTGGACTGTATATAGGTGAACCAGATTATAACTCAAATATCTAGTACTTATTAAAATTACGTTCAATATCTGGTTCAAAAATATTTTGAAATATTACTCAATCAAAAAACAATTAAAAATAATCGGTCAGTCGCTTTTACTTTTCGCCCTCATCGTTAATATGAAAAAATGTTTTAAAATTTTTTTCTAAAATATTTTTCTATTTAATTCCATCTCTATTTTCCTTGCCCTCTTTGTCACAGCCCCTTTTTGTCAGTCGTGTTGTTTGTTTTAAATATGTCCGATGTTTGGACAAAGCGTGTGTTGTGGTCCTGGTCCTTTCATGGTTCGCATCGATGTTATGATGCTTGTGTTTAATTTATCGCAGCCGTGCCTGGGTGTTTTTGGCACTTTTGTTGTTTTGTCACATATCCCAATTAGCAGCCAATTTTCTCCTCTAATGTTTTTCTCAATAGCCTGGGGGTGTACGTGGTTGTGGACAATGGTCACAAGTTCCTGGCTCTCCTGGAGGTCCACCAGGCCCAGGAGGTCCTTGCGGTCCTGGTGCTCCTGGTGGTCCTGGAGGACCGTCATCTCCCTTTGGTCCAGGGCCTCCAGCTTCATTAGTGCCATCCTTTCCAGGAGATCCTTTCTTTCCTGGAGGTCCAGGTGGTCCCGCTGGTCCTTGTTGTCCGGCTGGGCCATTGACTTGAATCACTCGGCCAGGCGTACCGACTGGTCCCGGCGGTCCGGGCGGGCCAACTAAAAAATATTTTGAAATAAAATAATCATCAATCAAAGTCTCACCAGGTCCTTGCAATCCAAGCGGTCCTTGGAAACCGGGTGTTCCTTTATCTCCATTCTTTCCTTGCTCTCCAGGTTGACCTTTGGGTCCACGTGGTCCTTTCTGGCCTGGGGCTCCTTGTGATCCGGGAGGTCCTGCTGGACAGATGATACAGGGTTCACGAGGTATTGCACTTCTAAGTACTTGACCATCACGGCCATCTTGAGCATCTTGGCCATCCTTTCTGAACAAAAAAATATTAGTTGGGCAAAACTATCCAAATTATTTACCCATCAGATCCAGGCTCTCCGTTATCTCCAGGTGGACCGGACGGTCCAGGTGGGCCTTGCTGACAAGGGCAGCAGGTAGCTGGTTCTGGATTCACAACTCCATAACCTCCAGCTTGACGCTTTCCACGGCTTCCAGTTGGCGGTGCTGGTTGATTCAACACTGCCATTTCTGTCCACATATCGCGTGAACGTATTTTACAGAAGTCAGTCTCCTGAACCAAATGACTTTGGAAGGAAGCAACATAGCTATAAAGCATTGGCAATGTAACTATTGAAGCTATAACTGCTGCTGTAGAAATAACAATTGAGAAGAAAGCTACTCGACGTAATTGGCGATGCTCCTCTGTTTCGCCGCCGTCGTTGTCAAAAACGATCGGCTGCTTTTGTAGTTGGGAGTCCATTTCTGGACACTGTGACTTGTTGATTGACTCGACTTGGGGCACTGACTGACAATATTTTCTCAGTCAGCACTGAAATAAAAAATTATTTATTTAAAAAATATTTGGAGAATTTTGATAATTTATTATTTTTTAGCATTTCATTTTTAAAATGTATTTACATTTCCCCTGCTTTCACCTTATATTTTATCAACGGTTTGACGGTTTAATGTTAAGTTTTTTTTTAAATTTAAAAGATATATTTTAAAAAATCAAACCAACCTATACGGGCTAAGGGCTTGCGACCGGCCGAAAAACTGACGACGACTGATATTTTACTAGGAAATCCCATCGCTTTAAATGGTTTTGGAAAGACGGAACTAGCTTCTCCAAATATAAAAAAAATCTTGATTTCCCCCTGCAGCATTACTAAAAACAAAAAATGATGGGGAATGGATTGCTTCCGCTAAATAATTTTTTCTTTATTATTTAATACTCTAATTTACCAACTAATTAATAAACAAGAAATAAAAGGATAAAAAATAATTAAAAAAGTTAATAAAAAAATAAAAGAAATTATGCGACAAAACTAAAACAAAGGAAAAAGATTAAAGACAAGGATATAAAACTACAAATAAAAATTAATTTATTCTGACAAATACTGGATTTTATAGAGATTTTTATCTTATTTTTTATATTATTTTTTTATTTTATTAAACAAGTATTTAGAGTTTAACAAATTAAAAATGATTGGAAATTAATGAGGAAAAATAAAATTATTTTGAATTTAAATCTGTATTTTATTTACTAATATTATTTCCAAAATTGAAATTTTATAATGTTTTTCATCAAACAATCTTATTTTAGAATCTACCTATTTACATTTATAGAATTACTGGGATATACATTTCCCATCTGAACATTAATGTGGTGATTGAAAAGAGGAGCGGAAAATACATATTCCTAAATCCCAAAAATCGAAGAAAATTGCTAATGATTCTTGTATCTGTTCTCTTAACTCACAAAACTCAGATCTCATATGTGTGATATATCTTGAAATATCGAGCAAAAGCGGGCGCAAGAGACAATCTCCAAAAAAACGCCAAACGCACTGCAAGGCCAAAATTTAACGCAATGCAAGTATCCGAGTATCAGCCTTTTTCTGATATCAAGTATCCGTGTATCAACCATCCATTGAGATATTATTATTCAAGTTTTATTCTTTAGTTACTTCATTTTTATTTTAAATTTAATTACCGAGTATACACCTCAAATATATTAATTACCTATTTACTTAAAAATATACCTAATTTTATTTAACTAAAATTTTTATTTAATTATCGGTTAAAACAAATTACTATTCTTTATTATTCTCGTTTACATTTAGTTTTTTTACTTTAATATTCAAGAAAAACTCGTGTCATCCCTCCTCTCCATTGTTTGCTTTAAAAAATAAATAATTGTTATATTCCTGTCTTTTAGACAATTTTTTGTTTGTTAATTGCCAAATTTTAAGAAAAATAAAATAAAAAAGACAAAAGCAATTAATTGGCCTTATAGAGAAAAAGAAAAATTTTCTTCAAACTCTTTAAGTAACACGTGAATAAAAAATTTAAAAAATAAAAACCGTCGGCTTTTCCATTTTTTTCTTATTTTTCCCGTTACACTCGAAGGTTCCAACACTCATTTTCTTTAAGTAAAAAATAAAAGAAAATGGCAAAATTACTCTGGCACATTTCAATGTGTTGAGATGTTTTGTTTCTCTCTCAAGTATTTTATTATTTAAATTTAGAGAAAGGAAAGATGGGTTTTAAAATATTTGTTGGGTAGATTTTTCTATTAATCTTTAGCCAATGTAAGGATGATTCTAAAAGGTAAAATTATTTTTAAGCATCAGTTGATGCCTGGTAGCTAAGTGGTAAAGCTCCTGTATATGGGGAGCGAAAGCGCCTAGCAATAACTACGAAGAGGCCGCAGGTTTGAATCCTGCCCGGTTGCTAAACTTCTGGTAAACTCTTTCTCCGTATTCTAGGCCTTTTTAGAGAAGAAAAGGTTTCTGTTTGATCTTGAGATTATGGCGAGAACGCCATATAGCGCTGTAATTTATTCTTTATAGTTGTTCTTTATAATTTATTCTTTATAATTTATTCTTTATAGTAATTTATTTCTTTATAAATATATTTTTCGTTTTTCTTGCATTGTTTTCCCTCAAAAGGGAGAAAAAACAATTTTTGAGAAAATTTTACAATTAATAATTATAAATCTTTTTATTATTTTTAAAAATCCTTAGAAAAATAAAATGCCAAAATTAATGGTTTCGCCCTCTTTATGTTCCTCTACCTCTTCTTCAACTCGCCGGCGGCGGTCAAATACATTTATCACAATATTTCAAATGCTCACTAAATTTTTAAATCAAAGAAAATATGCAGCTAAGCCTGTATTGACTATTTATGTGGTTGGTTTTGTTTAACGATTTTATTTACTTTATCAGATTAAATATTTCAGAGATTCGGAACCGACAAAAGAACCGAACTGAAAAATCCTTAGTTCTTCGGTTTGGTACCAAACTGAACAACCATAGTCCTGGGTGCTTAGAAAATTTTATTCTTCACATACATAACCTTTCATTAAAGATAAAATGAAGTAATAAATTATACTAGAAGCAGGATTAGAGTTGCCGTTTCCAAAAATTTTTGAATATCCAAAACCGAACTGAAGAAATTATTTAGTATAGACAAAGTCTAAATAGTTAAAAAAATCAAAAAATGTTTTTTATTTAAATATAAAAATATATTTTTAATTTTTTCAACTCCCTATAGAATTTATTTTTAAAATAAAAAAAAAATTAATTTTTATTAAAGGTGCAAATGTTGTTGATTGCTCCCTTTATTATCCGTTCAGGTGTTCCTTTAAATTTGAATGCGTTAATGAAGCCATTTCAAAGAATGTATGCAAAAGGAATTGAATTTGATATAAACACATTAGTTATGATAGCTTCTGCTTAGGGAAGAATTTTTCAATTTTTATTTTCAGATTTCTATTTTTTGAATATAAATTTTAAAAAAAATCGAAAATAATTTAAATGATAGAATTTAGTTTAGGATTTTTTAAAAATACCTAGGTATCTTCTAAAATTCTAAATGAAAATACTAAGAAAAATGTCAAAAATTTTCATAAAATCTCTTTATTTTTAAAAATCAAAATTTAAAATTTTTACAGAAACCTTAGGCCTTTTTTAATTATCCACAAATTCTGTGTTCTTTAGAAATTTTTTAAATTAAATATAGATTTTGTGGAATAATTAAAATAGACTTTAAGTAAATTTATAATTTATAAAACAAATTATCAAAATTAGGTTTTTATTTAAGTTTTCAAGTTTTTTCGAATCAAAATATTTATTTTATTGTCTGTTGTTTAGGTAGAAAATTTTCATTTAATTTAAGACAAGTTCCACAGCAACTAATAGCCATTTTTCTTTTTACTAGTACATTACTTGACTAAAATTTAGAAAAAAATAAAATTTATTTAATCTGAGTAATTACCAAACAATGCCCTAAATTTGCCGCAATTGCACATATTCCTTTAAATTTCTCAATATCGTCAATGCAAGCTGGAATTGTAGATAAAAATCTTTTTATAAATTTTATTTTAATTTCTTACGTTTTAAAGGAACTCCATTAATATACAACATTGGGGGAGTTGTTGGTGGAGTTGTTGTTGTTGTTGAAGGTGTTGTGGTGGTTGTGGAAGGGGTTGTAGTGGTTGTAGTTGTCGTAGTGGTTGTTGTACTAGGGGTAGTGGTTGTTGGGATAGTCGTTGTTATTGTTGTGGTTGTTGGGGTCGTTGGGGTTGTTGTGGATGTAGTTGTAGTAGTAGTAGAGGTTGTTGTACTTGTGCTTGTAGATTCTGTGGTAGGTTCTGTGGTTAAAGGAATTGAGTCAATTATTGAAATTGTGGTAGCTTCCGTAACTTCCTCTGCTCCCTTCCTTTTACAGCATTTCCCAAGCAAACAAGACGAACCTTCAGGGCATTCACCAAATCCAAAAGTTGAACAAGCTAATTTAAATAAAAATTTTTGAGGATATTTATTTTAGTAAGCTCTTTAACTACATATTAAATTATTAATTTTTTGTTTTTAGTTAATTTACTTATAAATTAAATTATTTAAAAAATAACAACTTCCAACAATATCTCCACCAAAAGCCTTACACCAATTAACAGATTCAACTAAGAGTGGTGTTGTCCAAAAAATTTTTGTTAAAATAATGAGAAACAAAAAATTGTTTAATTTGGTTATACTCATGAAATTAAAATTTGTTAAATTTTTATTTGGAAATTTTTAAAAATATTTTTGGTATAAGAAATTTTGAAATAATTGGGAAATATTTTTTTATTTTTTTAAAATTAAATGGAATCATTAATAAAAATTTTATTTAATAGTTTAAGTAAAATAAAGCTGAATAAATAAAACTTATTAATTTATTTATTCGTTTTATCAAATTTCTTTAAAAACAGTTAAATTTAAAAAAAATAAAAGTTTAAATTAAAACTTTAAATTAAAAAAAAATAAATAGTAAATGTTAAAAACAATTTTGAATAAATATTTTGTTGCCAAACAATCCGCAAGTTTTTTCTGCAAATTTATTATATGTATTTATTTTCTTAAATAGAATTCCAGAATAATTTAAAAAGTTGTGTGTAATTATTCAACGTGAATGCTATTTCTGTGATAAAAATAATTTTTTGATAACGATGTAAAATACGCTTTGGGAGAATCTAGCAGACTTTGTGGCAACAGCACGATGATGTGTTCAAATATTTTTATGCCAAATTCTTTCCATACATTTCCTTGTAAATTTGTTTTACTTTAAATTTTTGCGTTGAGAACATCAGTATAAAATAACCAAAAAATACTAACTTTTAATTATTTATAAACAAACATTTATTTATCACAAATATGTATTTATGCGCAAATTTTTTTTTTAATATTTAAATAGCTACAGAATTCTTATTAATTATTACATCAATTAATATATAAATAGTATATAGAGGCACATGTACTTATTTACATCGTAGACTCATTTTTATAAATCTAAAATTTTTTCTGAGTGTTTTTGATAGTTTATTTCTCGTATAAAAATTATTTTCCCCACAAGTATCTCTAAAAAATTAAACAAAATAAAGGAACGAACTTAAAAACATTTTTATTATTTACTTTTTTCAACGTCAAAAACTTTTTAAAATGTACTTCCGCATTAAAATCGATGCATTTATCCTCTCTTTTAGTTTTTTTTCTACCAACCGCTGAAGTCTGTCGTTGTTTTTTGCCTAGTCCTCAATAGTGCATTTTATTAGTATATTATTATTTAATATTTTTAATAATTTTCTTTTTTTAAATTGATTATTTTATAATTAAAAATAATTAATTTTAATTTATTATTAAACTCTCTCGATAATTTTTTTTAATTTAAAATATTCAAAAATGTTTTTATAAAACCGTCTTGATACATGCATATACTTTTAGGGTGTTTAAGTTAATCCCAAATCTTGAATATTATGATTTACTATTGTAAACTGATTTGATAAACTGAAAAATAAAATAATTTTTATCAATTTAATTATGATCCTCATACTCACTTTAAAAATAAGTAGGGGCGGAAGGGGATCAATCCCTGAATGTATATACACGGAAATTTAAAGAATTATCATTTTAAATAGAAAATGCTTTTCCTTTTCTTTGGTATTTTAATAGCACTTTTTCAACTTTTGCTTTTTTATAATTTTTATTGGAAACGCCGTCATTTACCTCCAGGCCCCACACCTTTGCCTATTGTTGGAAATTTGTTAGAGTTGGGCAAAAAACCTCCGGGTTATGATATTTTTCTTAAATGGAGGGAGGAATATGGACCTATTTATACATATTGGGTGGGTATTTTCTTTTATTTTTATTAGGAAATTAAATGTGTATTTAGGTCGGAGAACAACCTATGGTTGCTTTTACTGAATATTCTTTAATTAATGAAACTATTGTGAAAGATGGTGATAATTATACAGATAGAGACTTCTTTCAAGATTTTTATACTTTAGCACGTGGTGTGAATTTTTCTTAAAATCTTTAAAATAGTATAGATCTTAAATTGGTGAAGCACCCCAAGCAGCTTCCCACCCCTGTTATTGCAACAAAATTTAAAGAATAACACATTTTAAATCAGGAGTCTCTTGATTTTGGGGATAATCAAAATTTAAATCCAACCGAATTAAAATTAGAGTTGTACCCCGACCCCGTACCCCGAACCCCGACCCCGTTCCCGAACGATTTTTTCACGATTCTCCCCGACCCGAACCCCGCCCCGAAACATTTCGAAAACCCCGTACCCCGACCATAAAAGTTTCGGGGTTATCGGGGTTTTATACACCCAAAAAATGCCATTTTTGTGAGAATTTTAAGAGAAAAATTTTAAAAATTTCCTCACAATTTACTTTGCCTTTATTATTTTTGAAAGAAAAATGAATGAAATATCAAAATTTTCTTTCATTCTTAATTAAGAGACTTGTGGTTGAGTGGCTTAGTTGTTGGTTTTAGCCTATATTTCCATTAATATAGGATTGGGTTCGGATCCATATAAGGAGAACTTTTTTACAAAAACAAATTATTAACGAGTTAAATTTTAATTTTAAAATATTAATTTTATTTTTAACTGATATCCCTTGAACGACCCTTAATCCTTCAAACCCCTTGTATCACCAGTAAGGGGTTCCCAACCATAACAGTTGGAAAACTATCGAGGTCCTGTTAACGGGAATCAGAGATATAAAGGAATTTGTAGTATATCGAAGAATTAAGGAGTTATAAAGGGATTTAAAGGGATATAAGGTTTAGATTAAAATGGATTTGAAAGAATTACGTGAATTTAACGGAATTAAAAAGGAATTCGTGGGAGATCTAAGGATTAATCCAAGATATCTCCTGATATCCGTCCAAATACCCTTATCCGCAATACTTCAATATTCTTATTAATCACTGATATCCCTTGAAACAACAAAAATCACTCCAGATCACCTTGCACCCCTAGATATACCATTTAATCCCTAAAAATCCCGCTTAATCCCTCCATATCCACTTATATCCTAAGTTATACACTTTAATCCCTTCAAATCCCCTCTAATTTCTCCAAATCCTACTTAATTTTTGAATAAATTAGCGAAAATATAACGAGATCTGATTATTTTTGAGCATTTTTTTCTCTAAAAATTTTTTCCCTAAAACCCCGTACCCCGACCCGAACCCCGGTCATATTTTGCTCCCCCGACCCGAACCCCGCCCCGAAACAATTGGAAAACCCCGTACCCCGACATACCCGCCCCCGAACGTTCGGGGTACAACCCTAATTAAAATACACATAATAAATATTAAAAAAATTTAAGGTAAAAATGGACTTGTTCATATGGTAATAAATTGATTAAAAAATTTAAATCTTCTCTTGATTAAAAAATTAAAAGTAGGAAGGACAGGCTTGGCGTGAACACAGAAAATTTCTCATGAATGTTTTTAGAAATCTTGGCGTTGGGAAAAATTTGCTTGAACAGAAAGTAAAAAATAAAATTAATTATTAAAATTATTTTATAAAAAGGTCCTTTCTGAATTCTTGTCTATGTGTGAAAATATAGATAAAGCTGTTGGAGAGTGCCCTATTGGAGAAGATATGGAAATTGTTTGTTTGTTATAAATTACTTATTACATTAATTTAAATTTCTGACTTAATCTTTCTTAAATTATATTAGATGATAAGGATGAAACAAATTATACTGAAATCATTTACATAAGTCCTAAACTGAAAAAATTTTTTCTTTATAATTTAAGCAATTATAAATATTTGCGAACATTCTGACAGGAAGACATCTATTTACATACGTATAAAATAAAAGTTTAAAAATTTCAGATCTCTCATTTGGATCTCTGTGTAGGCTCTATCATCAATTCTTTACTTTTTGGCTATCAATTTCATGGGGTCTGTATTTAATTATATTTAGTTTTAAAATTTTGATTATAATTTTTAACAGGAAAAGACAGAAGAATTTGTTGAATTGAAGAAAATATTGAACGAATATATGTATGATTTTTTTGAAATTTATTGAAATAAAAATATATTTGGTTAATAAGTAGCTAATAGAGGTATTCCCTGTCGAGGCTAATTAAATTTTTTCGAGTTTTCGAGAGACGACTGCGGAACGAGGACTGGAAATCCCAAAAAATCCTGAATTTCTCGTCATTTATTTAAAATTAGAAAAATTAGTTTATCAAGTTAGCTAAATATTTTAAGGTATACAATCGGCCAACCATCAACACAATTTTTAATGTCTTGGTGGCCCCATTTAATCAGGCATTTACCCTATTTTAAAGAGATATTTCTTGAAGTACAACGAAAAATAATGAGGACTTATGCTTTTTTCAAAAAGCAAATAGAAGAACATGAAAATGATGGAGAATATTTGGGTGATGAACGTTTAGATTTTGTTAGTGATTTTATGCGGGAAGTTAAATTGAGGGACGGAAAAGAAGATTATGAGTGGGTTTAATATATTTTTGATTTATTTTAAATTTTTTGCAAGTAGATTTATTGGGGAATCGATCACTATCTCGCTAAACGGAAAAATTTTGAGAGATTCGAGATCATTATACGAAGAATTTATTCACAATAGCCTAGCTTTTTGGATAATCTCTTGTCATGATCCGATTGCTAATAAAGCATTAATCCATATCTACAATACTTTTGAACCTACAATACTCTGTAAAGGAGAATAATTTAAAATTTTCTCTAGAATTTAGAATTAACATCACTAATTTGTAAAGTATTTTTGGCCAAAAATTTAATATTTGCCCTGTGCTTTTTATGAAAAATGTTTTCGAATACCTATTTACATACATATATATCTACGGCCTAATTGAAAAATTTTCTAATATCTGACAACAAACAGTCCTTTTTTAGATAACATTAATTTATTTTTAAGCATGGAAACACTTTATGCCCATTTACTAGATTTTTGGATTGCTGGACAAGAAACAACAACAGACACTTTAAATTGGGGAATAATTCATATACTTCATAATATGAATGTTCAGGATAAATTACATAAAGAATTGGATTCAGTAATTGGAAGTAATAGACAAATAACGTTGGCTGATAAAATTGATTTGCCGTATTCAAATGCTGTTGTTAATGTAATTAATTAAATTATTTCTCAAGAAAATTTAAATATTTTTTTATAAAAAAATATATACATAACTTAAGAAATTAACAAATCCTAAACGTAATAGAAAGTTTCCTTAATTTCCATTTAACTAATTTTAGGGTTTTAGGAATTTCTTGTACTATGTATAATTGATAACTAGAGTTAGAATTTTTAAGCAAAAATATTTTCCTATTCTCGCTGTTTTTAGTGCCTATATATGCCTATTTTAAACTTTGTAGTGCCTAAAAATCCTAATAGTATCTTAATAAAATTAAAATATTAAAATAAATTTTTGTTAATTTGTTTCGAAATTTGCCAATAAATTAAATTTATAAATATTATTAGCGAAATTTTCAGAGTTTCGAATAATAGAAAGCAATAAAAAGCAGATAATTTAGATGTCAACTATTAATTTTTAATTACCTATTAAAAGTCTTAATTTTTTATTTATTCAAAAAGGAAATAATGCGTATAGCCAACGTTCTTCCACAAAATTTGGCACGACGTACAGTTCAAGATGTAAATGTTAGAGGCCATTTATTACGTAAAGGAACATCTATACAACCTTTAATTTCGTGTGTTTTATATGATGAAAATGTTTGTTTCTAATTAAATTTTCAAAAAATTTTTTAAAAAGATTTTCCCAAATTCTCGACAATTTCTTCCCGAACGTTTTCTTAATGAAAATGGAACACTTAAACGTTTTGATGAATTCATTCCTTTTTCGATTGGAAAAAGATTTTGTGCTGGAGAGTCTTTGGCAAGAACTGAACTTTTTCTTATTTTTGTTAATCTTTTTAATCAATACGAGGTGAAATAAGTTGAAAAAATATTTTAAAAATTAATTTAAAATTAATTTAGATTAGCCCTCCAAAATATTCAGAGATGCCTTCCAAACAACAAAATTTTGGACTAAGTGTAGTACCGTTACCATATAAATGCCAAATTAGAAAAAGACTTGATTCTCAAAAAGAATGATTTTAATTTTTAATTAAAATATATACATAAATATTTTTCTTTTATCTAATATGACCTCTATTTAATAAAATCAAAAATCAAATAAATAGGTCAGAAAGCTGAACAAGATTGGGTTCTTATTAGTGTTATTCAAACGCGATTTTTCGGTATCGGTATTTTCGGTAAAATACCGATACCGAAAAAATACCGATTTTTTAAAAATTGTTCGGTACCGTATTCGGTATCGGTATTTCGGTAAAAATACCGCGGTATTACCGAAAAATACCACGGTAATACGGTACCGTGAATAACACTAGTTCTTATTATAAATCTAAGGCAGAGTTTTACACTGCCACAAATTTAGCCCCTTTTTCGAGACGCCATGCACCTTTCTGGTGATTTGGAAAAGTCTAAGTGAATATAAGAAATAATCTATGTATGTGAATAGTATAAAAATACAAGTAGTTAAAAAAGATTTATTATTTTACCTAAAATTTAATTTCTAAATATATAAAAATGTAATAAATAATCTTAAAATTAATTTTCAATTCCAAATAGCTGTCATAATAGAATTAGGTTCTAATTCAATTTTCATTTCTCTATCCTCAACAATATCTTTAATATTTAATTCAATAATTTCTTCATTTGGATTTATCAAAACAATTATTTTATCCCCTCTAGGAGTAACAAAAGCTACATGATCTACTTTATTTAATAAATTAATTGAATAATCAGATAAATTATTAAATAATGAAGAGTTGATACGGACAGAACCAGGAGGAATAAATTTACTGAAAAAAAGAAAAATAATTTAATTTTGATTAAATAAAGTACCTAAAATGTGCGATAAAATAAAACATTGGTTGCTTATAAAATTCATCTTTCTCTCCATCCACAAGGATGGGAGCATCTACAATATTGTTGACCCAATTTGGACCTCCTTCCATATTTAAACCTTAAAATTAAATTTAATATTTAGTTATAACTTTGTGGAAAGGTTCTAAAAAGAGCCGATTTTTAACTGAATAATACCAAAGTTTAAATGGGGTGTTAAGGCTAAACATTCTTATTTTAATTTAGCTAATTCTCAAATTGTATAAAATCTCAGATATATGTTTTAATTAAAAAAATTCATTTGTACAAATATTCCAGTCAATCCATCCAATAGCCCAATTCCTCAAATTATGTAAAATATCATGTCCATACATCCAACCTCTCGTCCAATTACCTATACGAGGTCCAAAATCTGCAATTATATCAAAACCTGCACATGCCTTTATTTTAATATTTGAAATAATTAATTTAGTATATTTTAATTTTTGTGTATATTTTACTAAACTTTTGATTTATTTAAATTTATAATTTGGTTTTTATAAATCAGAATTTAGATATCCGCTTTTCTAAGTAAAATTCCACTATTTTTAGATATTTTTAAATTTAAATTACTTCAGTCGATATAATAAATTTATCATTGTAAAGCTCATGAACTTTGCTTTGATCTTCAATTTTATCAAGTACATACCAATGAACGCCTATTCCATCTATTGGATTTTTTATTTCCGCCTCATTTTGGTAATTTAAAAACTTAAAAAAATTATTAGAATTTAAGATAATTATTAATTTTTATATAAAAAAATTTATCAAAATTATAATCAAGATTATTAAGAGGTAAGTTTCCGTAGGTATAATAAATAACCCCTTACTAGAGTTGTTCAAACCCTGACAGTTTTAAGATGTCTCGGCTTTAAATTTCAGTTATTGGATCCAAAACAACGGTTTTTAGATTATGGTTAACAGAATTTGATCAGAGATACTCTTGGTATTCCAATATAAGGGTTACTTAAAATAACATAAAAAATGTTGTTCTATAAATAAAAAAAATTTTTTGTTAATTCCCAAAATTAAATTCACAAAATCCCCACATTTTTCACTCCATCAATAACAAAATCAGGAACCAAAGGAAGTAATTGATCTAGGAAAGTGTCAGTCTGTTCAAATGATGTTTTTGACGAAGAAGAGTGTGTTTGCTCATCAAATATCTGAAATTTTTGATTATTTTTTATTAAAAAATATTTTTATTTTTAATTTCCAATTTTTTCCCTTTTTTCTTTTTAAAATTTTACAAAAATAAATTTGTCTTGATAATGTATCCGCCATATTATGTTAAACTTATTTTACATGTCTATAATAGTCAACAAGGATTAGTACAAGTTTATATATGTACTTATAATGAATAATATTTACTTGTAAAATTTTAAAAATTTAATTTACTTTCCCAATTAATTCCCACCTCTGAAGCCGAAACAACTAAATGTTCTCTTACATCATCAAAAGCTATCAACTTAAGGTTTACTGTATATTCTGATTTTTGAAATAGAGGTAATAATAATTGTTTGGCAAATTCTCTGAAAATAATTATTAATTAATTTTTATTTTTTTTTGAGAAATACAAAAATTTTTGTATTATATACCTTTACCCCGTTCTAATTAATTTTTATAAACAATAAAAACAAAAATATTATTCAGAATGTTCGAGTACAATTTTTAATCAGTTCAAGTAAACTTTTAATATTCTGAGTATTTTTAAGGTAATCTTTTAAGTATTTATCTAATTTACAAGTAATTTTCTTTATAAAAAGAAATTCGTATAAAGTTTTTTAAGAAAAAAATAAATTAGACAATTAATTTATTATTTACGTAACCCAATTATTTTATTAATGGTTATTAAACGCAAATAATATTACGTAAATTATAACATAAAATTATAACGGATATAAAACACTTAACTTATATTTATGTAGTCAATACAAAAAATTATTTAATATGTAATAATTATTTTTAAAAAGTGAAATTATTTTTGACAAGTGTTTTGTTTTTTGGAAAAATGCCAATAATGTTACTATGAGGATATTTGTTTTAGAGTGTAAAAGGATTGTAACGAGAATCGGTCGGAATTCCGATTTTGATTTCCGAGTTCCGACTTTTGAGCTAGTTCCGATTTCCGACACCTCTAACTGTTCCGACCCACCTCTGATTTAAACACAGTTGAATAAAAGCAATTTAATTCTAGAATTTTTGTTTACCCCTAAATACTAAATAAACTTTTAATTTTTAGAAATCCTTGTAGTTATTAAGGAAATTTCTAAAAAAAGATCCAATTTAAATTAAAATACCTCTGTGTTCGATTACTCATAAACATTGTTTGGAAAGGAAAATCCTTTTCTAAACCACTCTCTGGCTGATTTTGAATAGTTAAAGCCCAAAAATCAATTCCGTTTGCGTGATATTCGTCAAAAAATCTTTTTAAAATTTAATTAAATTTTGGATAAATTACAAAAAACTTTTTCAAATATTTAGCATAAGAATGGTAATAAGGTCCATTTAAATCTCCTTTTAATTCACCATCCCCATTCATTTTTCCATTAGTTTTCATCCATCCAGGAGACGCCCATGGGGCGGCTAAAAGTCTGAAAGGTTGCCCTATTCTGTACCGATTTGCCATTTTTATGTAAGGGATCTGCAAAATGGGAAATTAAAAAAAGACTTGAGAAAAAAGTCAAACAAATTATTATGTAAGTGTAGCTACTTGTTTATATTTTCATTTTGAAGCTCAAATAAATGTTCCAAAAAGTCAAGATCTAATAAAAACCTAATGGTTACCCAAGGATCATTATGGGAGTATTAATAGGAGTATTAACCCTTTCTCCCTTATTGGTACTTTTCCGTTCTGCCACACCCCCATAAATTAATGCTCAAAATGTCATATATGGGTAATAAAAGGTGCCGAGTCGAACGGTAACACTCTTTTTTCCCGTAAATGCCTGTGGACCGAGATATATGGCTCAAACTGCTTCAAATGAGTATTTGTTTGTACAAACTTTTTTTATTCGAAATGTTCATAGGCCCGTATTTCGGTTCAGGGGGGGTACCAAACAAACTATTACCGAAATAATTTCTAAACATTCTTTTATTTTTACCTTTATATTTTTCCATAGGCGAAAATTTGTCTTCCTCTATTTTTACTTGAACTTTTAATCTTTATGAGAGGAGAAATAAGGCGAAGAAAAAATGGGGGTTAACTTGGTACTTATCCCTTATACCACACCCCCTCAAAGTAGTGTCCAAAATGTCATATATGGGGTAATAAAGGGTGCTGATCACGATTATGGTGTTTATTTCTCAATATAAGAACCCCCTCACCCATAAATTGTCATGGTTCATAATGGTCAAACTTCAAGTTTGGACGCATTTGACTACCACAATGGCAGAAACGTTCAGTATGAAGCAAACCGCAATTTTAAAAAAATTTTGCAGCGTTTGATTCATCAGGACATCCCCCCATTAGTGTGTCGCAATTATAGGGCATTTTTTTTATTTATTTTTATTATTATGGGTTCAAATGAATGAAATCGTTTATATACTCATTAAACGACCAATAATCACACAGAAAATAAATATTAAATATTAGTGCATTAATAAATATAAGTGCAAAATAAATATTAGTGCATTAATATTGCTCATACCTATATATTTATTTAAATAAAAACTTGAAGTTTGACCATTATGAACCATGACAATTTATGGGTGAGGGGGTTCTTATATTGAGAAATAAACACCATAATCGTGATCAGCACCCTTTATTACCCCATATATGACATTTTGGACACTACTTTGAGGGGGTGTGGTATAAGGGATAAGTACCGTTAACTTGACCGTTTCTAATCCTTTATGAGGAGAAAGAATGAAAAAAAGTGCGGACAAACATTTGCAGAATTGCGGGGATATAAACGGATAGTACCATTAATAGATAGAGTAAATCTATTAACATTATTGTTGATTCATCATATTATGGGCAAAATTTTATATTCAAGCTATTTTGGAGAATCAAATTTATTTAGAGGCTTTAAGATTGGAGATCAAAACTTCAAAGCTAGCCTTATATTCAAAATCTTCTTTTGCCAAAGAAAATGTTTTCAATTCAAAATCCCCTTCTTGTTCAACATAAGAATATTCTCTCGTCGAGAAATCAGTACTAGCAATAGGCACCCTTCCAATAGAATAACCAATTCCCTCCTCAGGATGAAAATAATTTTTAATAAGGCTTTCCCTAGTTGTAGCACTTAAAGAATTTAAATTCAATCCAACAGAATCTGTAAAAGCCCCGCCAAAACCAATTATAGTTTGAAAACGTGCAGAAGAATCAATTGATATTGTTGGTAATTTATCTATGAGAAATCGCAAATAAATTTTAGAATTTCTAAAAAAACTTACTATCATCAGTTTTATTAAAAGGAAAGTGTTTAAGCACTTTTTTCATCCGATTCTTTCTTTTATCAGTCAAATAAAAAACTATTTTTCCTTTTGCTAACAATCCAAGAGGCTCAACTTCATCACAAAATTCTGAATTACATACACAAACAAAAGTTTCAGAATCTTCAAAAGTTTTTTGTAAACATTCTTTTAATTCTTCAGTTTCAATCTACATAAAATATTTTGGATTATTAAAATAATTTTAATAAAAAAATTTCTTGAAAAAATTTTTTTAGCTATCCTTAGACATTGTGTGGAAAATAAATGTTTGCATACACCCCTCCCCCTCCTCCCTCCCCCTCCATTTAAAGAATATTCCTTATCTAAAATTCGTCTGTCAATTGGATTAGGGGAACTGTTTATAGATAATACTCATAAAAATGAATGTACCCAATTTTACGTACAATTTTCAGCCTCAAGAGTGTATGTAAAGGTTAGGTCCGACTTTATTTTAAAATTTCAAGAAATATTTAATTTTAATAAGTATTTTCGGAGAGAGGGAATCAAGAGAAGATTTGTTCCAGTATGTACATATTTGTATGAGAAAAATTTTTTCTCATACAAATTTTTACACCAAATACCAATTAATTCTAGTAAAATAAATATGTATGTATTTATACTATTTTGTAGTACCAAGAAGTCAAAAAAATATTTTCTAACAAAACTAACAATTTCAGCAGCCAAATAACCGGAAAATAATAATAATGGGAAAACAAAAAATATTAGTAGAAGATTAAGAAAAAATAAACATTTAAAGTTAAATTTTAGCATGTTTTAAATTTTTGTAGTGGTAAACACCAAATTAGCATGAAAATATAATTTAAAAAATTAATTAAAAATTGCAAAAAAAAATAAAATTTATTTTAAATAATAGAAAAATATTTTTTTTTGAGAATTTTAAAATGGTTATATTTTTATTTACTAGCAGTATTTGGCCCTTCTTCCCCCAAAAAACCTTTTTTCCTTCTTAATCGATTACTCTTTCATTTATTGACAAACAAACAAAATTAATTATTATTTTAGTATTTTACACTGTTATCATTAAATAAATAAAATCTGAAAAAATTTGAAAAAAATTTTTTGGAGATCGAACAAAAATTAAATTAATTTTCTCACTTATTTTTGATTTTCTTTTTAATTTGTGTCGAAAGGAAGATAAAATTATGTGGCATAAAAAACTTTAATTTTGAGAATTTAATGTAGACTTTAATAATTATTAGGTAATTTATTATTTCAAAATTCATTTTAGTGATAAATTATTAATAATTTAATACCTTAAAACACACGAATTAAGGGTTGTACTTATATTCCTTTACAAAATAAATGAATTGAACTATACGACGGGCCGTTTTAAATTTTAATAAAAGAATAAACATTTTCTAATTAAGTATTTTTATCGCCATCAAAGGTTTTAAAAATTTCCATTTTAATTTAAAAATTATCAAAGAAATAAGAAGTCGTAGGCGAAACTTGGATATTCTATATCAAAAAATGGATTGGATCTTAATGAATAATTTTGTATTTAAGTACTTCCGTACATACCTATTTAATTTAACTTGGATAACTACTGTAAAATTCATATTTCTTTTCTGTCAAAACAAAAATTATTTTATGCGCTTTTAAACATTTAATTAAAAATAAAAGGATTAATTTAAAATTTGAGAGAAATACAAATATAATAATTGTGGAAATTTAAAGTAAAAAAAAAGGAAAATAAATTTAGATATGTAAAAATAGAGTAGATGACATAATTAAAATTAAGAAAATTAGAATTAAATTTTTAATTTAAATTTTGCCATTTTTTGGAAAAAATTGAAGAAAAAGGGATAGTTTTCGTGCAAGATTGTTACAAGGCGAGTTTATAAATATTGTTAAATTAAAGGGTTAAGAAATTTTGATTATTTATTCTTTTAAATATTAATTAATTTATATGAAAATTCGGAATTTTTATTTGGTTATTTAGTCAGTTATTGAATAAAATATTTATTTTGGTGGGGTTTGCATGTATCTTAAACCATAAAAACAAAATTACGAGACCAAATATTCTAAAATTTATAAATATATCGAAAATATGTTTATGAATAAATTTACAAAATTTCAATGCTATAGCTTACAAAATGACAATTTTATAAATATTCGCCTTAACAAAAAACAGTGAAAACTAGAGACCGGACTGGAAGCTTCGTAGAGAATCGAGATTGATATCTCGAAAAATATCGATATCGATAACCGAGATTTTTGTTGAAAATATTGTTTATGTCCGGTCTGTAATAAAAACTATCCCAAACAAAAAAGTTAACACAGCAAAAAAAAAGAAAATGAGATTATTTTTCAGAAAAATCTAAAACAATAAAAAGAGATCATTAAAAAGAATTTTAACAAAGAAAAGAAAGGAATGTGTATTTATTTTATTTGTATTTTTTAAACTTTTTTTTTAATAAAAATCTCCAAAAAGGCAAGAAAATTGTTTGTGTTGTCCCACCATTTTGTAGGTTTTTTTATTTTTTTCTTTATTTTTGCACCGGTCTTTCATTCGTTCCTGTGCCTTTTTCCACAATAGAAATTACAGGAACATGCATTCCGCATTTTGTGGATCTAAATATTTGTCTGTCTGGCATGCTCCAACACTGCCTCGTAGACGAACACATTTTCCAACATGTTTTTCAACCTTAATTGAGAAAAAATAGAGTTTGTGAATTTTCGGAAATTAATGTTTTTGTGAACCAAATACATATGAACATTATCTTGATTTGGATAAAAAGGGCATTGAAAATGTCCAAATATTTGAAGGTCAGGATTTTTTAGACCAAGTCCTTTTTAAGTGAATGTAAACAGATTTTGTTTTCTCTACAGGAAATACATATATCTTAATTTATTTTTAAATCATTTTGCCCTCTAAAATTACTTCCTCCCGCTAATTAATTAAGCAATTAAGTCTAATATTAAATTTATTTGTTTTTTTTCTTTATTTCCGGTCTATAATTAAAAATAATTTATTTATATTAATTTTTATTTACTTCCGTAAAGCGTGCAAAAATTATTTTATTTTCCGTGCCATTTTTATATTATCAGGACTATTTTAAATTATTTTTATTTATTAAAAAACACACTTTTCGTGACCTTAATAATAAAATAAAAACATTACACTTTAATTAATTTGTTTTCTATGATTTAAAATTCAATCTATTTAATGGGATAAATGACCACTTTTTGGCTCGTGTTTTGATTTAAAAACTGAGAAGGAAAAATAAGCCTCTACAATCGCCAAAAATTTTTGCAAACAGGTAGGGGGGAGTCAATTGGATATTTGCCATTTAATAAATTGGAATATAAATAGTTAATCTACAAATTTTTTTTGAAATTTATTAAAAACAAAATGGAAAGGTTTAGTGTTTTATAAAGTAAGTTAATCTTAAGATACAGTATTTCTAATAATAAAACTTTTGCGTAAAGACTCCTCAAGTTTACTCCCTGATCAGTCCCGGATAGCTAAACAAGTCTCTTTAAGATTAGTTAGTGATGATCAAACTCAACTATATATTGTAGGTCAATTACCCCCCCCCCCCCCCCCACTTCCCTTCTAGCTAAAGATGGAACACATTTTGTATACGAATAATAGCGATATCTTTGATATATGCCGAGGTGGTCTCAAAATATTTTATATTTTTTCTTATTGATACTCTCAAATAAATTTTAGTGGGAATTTTAAAAACAAAAAAATTCCTCACCTTCTGAACTTTAATTGTGCAAGTTGGCTCTTCTTCTTCCTCCTCCTCCTCTTCTTCTACAGGTGCTGATCTTTCACTTTCTTTCTGTTTTGTAGATGAATTTTCTGAATTTGCTTTTAATTCTTTTTCTTCGCCAGTTTTTGGCTCTTTATAACTCTGAACCCAGCCAGCTAGCCCTTTTGAAATATCAGAAACTGTTGCCCCGTGATGATTATTATGGTTATTATGATGTTTATTTGCAATTGTTAGAGTAATTGCCAATAATGTAATTAAAGAAAACATCAAAAATTGGTTATTTAGGGAATGCATTTTTTGAATTTTTTGTGAAGGAATATATTTAAAAATATTTAGTTGTAATAAATCTTTTTATTTTTAATCTGTTTTTCTCACTCTATAAAAAAATAAAAGATTAATTTAATATTTTTTTTCTAAATTTTTCTAAAAAAATTTAAAAAATTAAAAATAAAATTTAAATATATTTTTATTTAAAAGGAATGTTAAATAAAGTAACTTTTCTTTTTTGTTAATAACAAGATAATCCACTGTTTTTTTCTACTTTAGTTCTTTTGGCTCTAGCTGATTCATAATTAATTATATGTAAACTCGGTAACTTTTTTGAGATTTCTCAGATTTAATTAATAGTTTCTGACTATAATTTACCAACTTATTCGAATACGATTTACAAAAAAATACAGCCAAACTGGTCACTTATTTTATACGAATATTGAAAAAAATTATTTAAACAAGACTGCACATTTTTCAAAAAAATATCCCTTTGAGTAAGAGGTATATGTACTTTGATAAATCCAAATGATGATTAAAGGTAATTTAAAATCTATAAATATAGGTATGTATCTATCGACAATAATAAAAACAGATATATATGAAGATAAAGATTGGATGTTTAAATATATTTAAATCTACTAGATTATTTTATAGAAAAATATTAATAAAAAACTCATTTATTTCCTTCAAAAACATGCACTCAATTAAAAAAATATTTTTCATTTCCAAAATTAAAAAATAAATATTTGTTTTGTTCAATTCCTTGGTCTTATTAAAAATAGAAAATAAAAAAAGAAAAAGAACAACGAATAAAAAACAAAAAAAATAATAATTTAAATAAAAAAAACAATAATAAAAACACAAACAAAATTAATTGAGAAAAGAAAACTTTGTTCACTTCCGGAAAGAAAAATAATAATAAAAAAATAAAAATATGCCTAATCAAATTTTAATAAATAAAAATAAAAGTTGCATTAAAGGAAACTTTATTTTTAGCAAAAATAAATTAGATTGAAGGACAAAAAATATAAATTAAAAAAATAGAGGTAAAAACACAAAAAAAATTTTTTTGGTTTTCTAAATTGGGGATAAAATTAATTTTTAGTTTTTTTCTAATAAATAAAAATATTTTCTGTTACGCATTTAATTTTTTGTTTAAATTATTAAGCTTTTAAAATTGTCTATTTAAAGAAACTTGGAAAGTTGAGGAATAAAAAATACCCAAAAAAGTCCTAAATAAGAGAATTAGTCTTTAAATAAAATTTAAATTTAGTTAAATTATGAGACGAAAAAATTTCTGAAATTTAGAAAATAGATTTCTTAACAAAACGAGTTAATTAATGTAGGAGGTTTCGTTGAAGAGGGGATTTATTACCGTATTTCCTATAATAGTACTCCCGGGAGTATTATTTTTCAACCCTCCTCCAAAGGGGAGTATGTATCCTTAAGGGGGTGTACTAATTCAGAGGGGAGTACTATTTCAGGAAACACGTTATATTGGAGATTTGATTAGACATAGAAAAGGGGAATATTGGAAATCCAAATCAAAAATATGAAGGTCTTTGAAATATTCCCTTCTCCCTTTTTAGATATCACTTCCTTTGTATTCTTTAATGAAATAATCTTTCAAATAATAAATAAAAATTGAAAGAAAAATTATGAACCAAAACAAATATTAATAATTATTAAAATAATCTTTTAATAATCTTAACAAAATTTTTTAAAGAAATTAAAAAATAATGACAAACAAATCTCTCTTTTTATTTTTATAAAAATAAAAGCTGCGCGAAGTTTTACTTCTCTCGAGACTTTTCTTTTATAGACAATTGAAGGCTACTTGCTTTCTTTGCATATTTTATTTTTCTTTTTCGCGCCGCCCCTTTTTAGTTTTTTTATTTTTTAAGAAAAAAAGGAATGTTTTTGCTTGTGGAGGAATAAGGGTGTTTTGCTTTTGACACGGCATTTGCCACAAAAGAACAAAAATTCTGAACAAATATTAAAATAAATCCCTTAAAGGCAATAAAAATAACGTGGGCGTCTACTGATTATTATTAAAGAGGGGGGAGGGGGGGAAATTTAGTCAAAAAATTGAAAGGCACGAGGTGTGGGAATTATGAGAATTTTAAAAGGTTTTTCAGATCAATGGCATTTTTTCTTTTTTTCCGATTTTTTGTTTTACTAAACGGAAGTTTGGAAACAATAAGAGACAGGTAAACATGGGAGAAAAAAATTAAAATAACATTTTTTTGTTTTTTAATAAAAAAATATTTTTTTTGTATTTTTTTTTGTTTGTGTGTGGGAAATATAAAAATAAACAAAAAATTCTGACATTTATATTAATTAAAGGTTATATGTATATGTAGCAAAAGGATTGAACGATTTTTCAAGATTTATAAATTAAAAAAGGCTATAGATATATAATATAATGAAGGTTTTTATATAAGATAATCTACACTAATAATTATTCTTTGTAGCTATTTTTGGTCTAACAATAAGTCTGTGAGGCCATCACATATGGGTAATTAACAAGAGAGTGGGCAATTGTTTAAGTAAATGTGGTAGTGAACTTATTTGATAGGAATTTTAATAAATAGGTATATAATTAAAATATATTTTTCAAAGTAAAAATAAATATGCAGAAAAAGTCAAAAGCTTTTGTTGAAAGTCTACGAATAATAACGGGAATAAAAATATTTTTAAAAATAAATTCTATAAATAAAGTCTGACTATTTTATTTTTAAATAATAATGAGTGTAATAAAAAAATAAAAAATAGGTTTTATATGTCTTAAAGTTAATAAGGCAATAATCTTTGTTCGCATAAAATAAAGCATTAATGGTGCATGGCACTAAAGGTGTATATTTTCTTTCAAACAAAACACCTTTATTAGTCTCAGACAGGCGAAAAAATAAAAAAAACAGGGTGGTCGGTAGACTAATAAAGCCACACACATTTTTAGTAAATTATGAAAAGGTAAAATAAACCTTTTTTAGTTTGAGCAAGTATCTAAGAAAAATATTTTAAAATTATTTGCGGACAGGCATTTGCGGATACAAACAAAGTTTGGTCATGAGCTGTGGTGGAAAGGTTCAAGTTTCAGTTCCGGAACCGGGCAGTTCCGGAACTAGTTCCGGAAGTGGAACCGTAGAACCGGCAAAGGTCTGAACCGGTTTGGAACCGGAACCGGTTCCAGAGAAATTCTGGAAGTTTTCCATCACTGTTCATGAGCTAAGGTGGTTGATCTAGGAAATCAGACGAATCAGAGAGGAACTTTCCCAAATATCGGAAATTGGAAATAGAAAATTCTAAAAAAATCGGAACTAGAAAGAAAACATCGGGACAAGAGAGTTGCCATAAATGCCATAATTTATCTTTCTTGACAATTATTTAAATTAATAAATTTTTAAAAAGACAGAAACTTCTTTTAAACAAAAATTAAAACATTAATTAAAAAATTAAAAAGAAAACTTTTTCAACAAAATTCGAATTGTAAGATTAATGTTCAAAGATGATTTTATTAACAAAGAAATAAAAAGCTATAAATAAAGTATATTGTACATAATGACCAAAATTATTAAAACATAATATAAAAAGAATTTTTTAATTATTTTTGCGTCAATTTTGGAGAGTAATAATTAAATAAAAAAATATTTATTTTATAATTCTGGCCAATTAATTGTCTATTAAATAAAAAATCAAATGCTGTTATTAAAATTATGCAGACAATGACTGGAAAATATTACGTAATTGTGGGAGTTTAAAAATATACTACATTATTATTAAATTAATTTTATTTTTAAAAAAGCCTAGGAAGAGGTTTATAAGTGATAAATGAAAATTTAAGAAGATCGAAACGTTAATTGATATTTAACTTGTTATTAAAGGTTCGATAGGGCTAGAATATCAAATTTAAAAGCAAGCTAAATCTGTGTGAATTCCAACATTTTTAGATTAGTCAAAATAGGATGAAACGGAACAAATCAACATAAGTATTCATTTATTTATAACAGTCATTCCTACCAGAACTGATGGTTATGGAATGCGGAATGACTTAATAAAAATTTTTTCGAGTGCGTAAAGCCGTGTTTACAAACTAACGTTCCAGCTACCAATAAAAAATAAAAAAATAATAAAGAGTAAATTTATTTGTTTTTATTTTTAATTTTCGAGAAAATTCTGAAATAATCTTGAGAGAATAAAAATATTTACAAAAGGCATCTAGCATTTATTTAATCATTTAGTTTCTTCACCAGACTAATAAAAATAAAAGTATTTTATGAAGCCTTTTTATTTTAGTTTAAAACACGTTTTATTCTATAAAATAAATATTTTAAAAGGTTAAATGGGGAAACCGCGACGTGAATAAAAAAATAATTTGTTTAAGGGCAAGAATCAAGTAAATAAATGGTCTCAATAGACAGACTTTTTAAGAGACTTTTAAAAAGTGCGGAGGAGAGACTAATTATATTTTATAAAAAGGACACAAGTTAGCCAGATTAAAGTAAAATAAAAGTGATGAAAATTGTTTTACAAAAGGAAACCGGAAAATGGCAGCAAATAAAAAATTTTATATAAAAGTAAAAAATTGTAAAAAAAAGTATTTTTGCTATTTTTGGAGTTTTATCTTTTTAGTAATAAAAAAGTGATGTGAATTTTAATAAAACAACAAAACACGTTTGATTAAATAAATATTAAATTAAAAATTAAATTAAACAAAGAAGTTTTTGCTGAAAGGGATTACATGGATGTTAATCTTCCCAAAAATTTATTTATTGTCTAAAATCAGCAAAAATTAACAAATTTCCTTGTTTATGATTTTTAAGTTTTGCTAAGTAAGCTATGAACTAGAGATAGGACAAACGGCAAAATCAAATATCGAATCAAACTATTCGATACTTAAAAGTATTTGAAAAAATTTGATTTTTTTCAAAACACACCAAACAAATATTTGATCTAATAATAGCTATGAACATCAAATAAATCTAAATACCATTAACATTGTTTTGAATTTCGATTTAGTCTGCACTTTTTACAGATGTACTAACTACTACGGTTGTTCCCCATCCTTCACTCCAT